AGTGGTAAAATTCATTTTGTCTCAATCTTAAAAATTGCTCTAAAAATTCCTAAAAAATTCTAAATAAATTCTAAATAAATTCTTATAATATTTATATAATGTTAATAGAAATTTAATAATATATTTTTTAACTTTATTATTTTTATAATAATAAAATCAATATAAATCAACTATAAATCCTATTTTTTATATCCATAACTTAAAAAACTTGAAGTTGTTTTTCATGCTTCTTCTAACTACTAACGATTATTTTTTATTTTTTATAAGTAATAAATATAGATAAAAATCCAATTTAGGTATTGATCTCAATAATTAATCTTTAATATTCAATAATAAATAAAGCTACTAAATCAATTAAGATAATTGCCTCTAAGACTTACTAAGACTCCATTTTTACAACTAACATTTTAATTCTCCATTTATCTAAGAATTTCTATACTTTTTATCATATATTGTAATTTTGGCATTCTAAATGTATCTTTTTTATTTAAAAAAATTAATAATATAATTTGATGACTTACACAAAGTACTTAATAAGCTTTATTTTTTCCAAAATAATATGTAGTATTAAATATAATTTAATAAAAATATATTTTAAAATATATTTAGAAATAATTTAAAATATATGTTGATATAAAATGCTTAAAATTATTTTAATTAGTATAAATTTTGATAAAATAAAAAGTATCTTCTAGGTAATAACACCATTCTTCAAATGAATTTATGTCAAGAAAAAGAATTCAAAGAATATAAATAAATAAATGAGATATTTTTTAAAGAAAGTAAATATATATATATATATATATATATATATATATAAGTAAATATATATATATATATATATATATATATATATATAAAAGTATATATATATATATATATATATATATATATATATATATATATATTCAAGAAGAAACTATATTAATTATTATCAAAGAAAAAATATAGAAATTCTTAAAAATACGCTAGAAACAAAAATAAAATTGGAAGAATAAGTAATCTTTCACTCTTACATCTATATACACTTTCTAACTATAAGCTATGTCGCAACATTCTATTGAATCTCTAATACATATCAAACTTATATGACACATGTCTAATTTGCAAGATAAGCTTCTTACATGTAAGCTACATATCCAACTTATACTATAAATCGCTAATATACATAACATATAGCCAAGTTTTTTACCTATCAATTATATATAGATACATATGAAGGCAAAGCTACATCTATGAATTTAAGTATATGGAAAATACAATATATTGCATCTTGTTAAATTTATTTATTTTTTATAATTTTACCTATTCATATTATTTAGATAATTATTTAAATAAATATATATATGTCTGTGATATTATATTCCTTTCAAAGAATAAGTTCCACAAAAAATAGTGATTACATATTGAAAAAGTCCAAGACGTAATATATTATATTTTCTATATACTTTAATCTTTGTTTTCTTTAAAAATAGTTGATAGATCTTTTTAGCTATCAATAGTGTTCTATACTACAACAAGAAGACTATCCTAATAATTTATTAGTATTGAGGTCTTTATAACTTCCTTCAAATAAAATATCTGAAATACCATTAAAAGTGGTTCTTACATCTAATAACATTATCAAACTTTAGAAATTGCTTCTAAAGTCTTGATACCAAATGAATTTTATCTTGCCATCTATTTAAAGAAAAATATGTCATTCTTAAAGATTTTTATTTCTATTATATTACTATCAAGGCTATTTCAATTATAATATCTTATTTAATAACTTAACAAAAAATAGCTCTTATATTGAATTTATTAATTATAATTCTTCACTTTTTTAGTACCACAAATGCAAAGAAACTAAAATTATAAAATCTTTAGTAAACCTCATTTCTTTTAAAAGAAGAAATTGTTTGACTCTTCATCTTGATTTTGATAAATATAATTGAAAAGTAATATTGATTTTTCTACTAAATTTGTAAGATTTTGGAATAGCTCTCATGTATATTGAATAATATCATATTTATGACAATGTACAAAATATGCTAATATATTTTGATATTGCATTCAGTTTAAAACTTTTTCAACATCAAATTCTTAATTATTGTCTATTTCTATGAAAAAAAGTGGCATTTGTCTTCTTTCTAGGATATTTTTTAATTTTTATGGGTCATGAAGAAATATGTTGTTGTATGGCATGATTTTCTATCTATGAATACCCTAGGTACCTAGTTGTAGAGAGATTAGTTTTAACTTATTGGCCAAATTTTAATAAGTAACTTATTCTTATTATAAAAAATAAATTAATGCAGCAATATAAAAAGATATTCTAATAGTAAAAACCTTTTATATTTAAGAAGATTTTTACATAAGGCTTTCTAAAGCATCTAGAAATATCCTAACATCCTTTGTTATACCAAATCATAACTAATTATTTGTTGATAAGTTAGATTTTCTATAAGCTCAAAGAAAATCCATTATCTTCTTATAAAAATCAATAATTATATCATAATTTTGTCATAGTTTTATATTTCCATTTTTAACATATATATAAAGTCTTAGCTTTCAAAAATTCCTTTATTTTGTATAAATTGTCCAAATTATAGTAAAATACTTTCAAAATATCTTTCTTCTACAAAAGATTATTTCTCTCCAAACTTTAGAATATCATATCTCTTGATCCAAATATTCAATTTTTTTCAAATTTCTACATAGTATAGAATTTATCCATAAGCTCAATTTAAAAGTATTATCTTCAAGTAGTTATTAATCCTCCAAATCAATTCCAAACCTTTATATATATATATATATATATATATATATATAGAGACCTTTAAACCAACTTTCCAATTACACAATTTGATCTTCAAAAACCATTTACACACATGCGCTATGCTCCAAAGAGTGACAATAGATACAAAATTGATACCTTAACTTTGAGGGCCTATATCTTCTTCATAAAAACTCCAAATCACATAAAATTTTTACCAAAACCATATTCAAAATCCTAAACTTAATGATTCTAATCTTTGATGTTCAAATGGCCTCAAAAGAATAATCCTAATTCCTAATAAAGCCTCAAGCAGCCTCCTTGAAGTTTATTGGATATGACTTTTAGTCAATAAGAATGGAGATTTTCATCATCCATCTCCATTCATCTATGTGGTTGGCATAACTATCATTTTTTATACAAAAGACTTTTAATTCTTTTTTTAATAAGTTTTATATATTATGTGCCTTAAACACCAAATAAAAGAAACAAAAAAAAGATTTCAAGAGTCACTAATGTCTAATAAAGATGCCTTTAAATATATAAAAACTATTATTAATATAAAATCAATCTCAATAATAGTCCTTGTAAACTAACTACTTCAAAGTAGTAATCTAATCACATTTTGTAACCAATTAAAATCTAATAACATAGCTCTCATTATAGAATGTAGTAAATAATATATTAAATATATATGTGCATTATTTTTATATAGTAGCCAAACCACAATATGACAATGCAAAATACATGATGGATCTTCATAGATTCCAATAGGAATAATCAATAAGCAATTAGATTTATATATTTACTAATAAAAAAATGGTCTAAATATATAATAATCTAACTTATCATACAAGCAAATAATCTTGATATTATAATGAAGAAACCATACATTTTTCTCAACATGAAATTGAGGTTGTTCCTTGCAATTAACATTTGCATTGAACTTTTGTCGTTCTTGAGCTTCTTTTAATTGTGCCTTTATTGTTGCATGTAACTTTAATAAAATATTTGTCAAATCTTTTGCCAAAAGATTATTAATTTTTAAAAGGTCAAAAATATCAAATTGTAGATAATAAATAAAATTAGCCAAAAAAGATATTTTTTAAATAGAAGAATATACCATATTATTATAAATAAATAAAAAAAAAAAAAAAAAAAAAAAAAAAAAAAACTTTGTCAATAGGAAAAAAGTTATTCAATTATTATAATGATTATTAATAATATATCTTAGATATTATTCCAAAACGTGATTCATTCATTTTTTTTAGTCCATTAATTTAAGAATAAAAAGTCAAAGATAATTTTATATCTACTTATAAAAACTTGAAAAGGTTTTTCAAAATTTTAATACAAATTTGTATCCATCTATCTAACATAATATCCCTTAACAATCCATGATAGCAATAAATTTTATAAAGAGAAAGTTTAGTTGTTTCTTTACTTATGATAAATTTTGAACATGGTACAAAATATACCATCTTCATGAAACAATCTATCATTTCAAATATAAAATCATAAAAAATTAAATCATAAAATTTTGAATGTTAAATTATTACTTTTGTAGTTAATAATCAAAATGTTTTAACTCTTATCACTTATTAAATGTTATATAACACTTTTTTAATCTAATTAGTGATCTTTTTTACTTTCATAATTGTTGCTCATACTCTTGGTGTCCATAAAATGAGGAAACAAATCTAAATACATAACAAAAGTGAATAAAAACAATGCCTAATGAAATCAACCACCACTTACATTTTACAAGACAAGAATTCACTTCTCAGTTTGTTTATTTCTACCAATTATTGAGTTCAATTCAAAGTTTTCTCAATCGATAGTTCAATTGTCGACCCAGTTGTCGATCTGATAGGAGTCTGAAGCAGTCTGGCCTTCAACCTACAGCTTGGCCAACTCGTTACCAGATATGCTTGAGTACAATGAGATACTTGCTTCGCTTTATCAGGAAGCTTGGAGCCGAACATCGGGCTGAGTGAAGGAGTCACAGCAGATTTTTAACGCAGCATGAAATTGATGCGTAGATTGAGATGCTCACAGCTCGAGAAATCGCCTGGCTGCCACATGGAGCAGCACAACGCAGTTTGTTGGTGCTGATCAGTCGAATCCGAGAGCGACATGGTCCATGCTTAGTGAGATGCATGGCCCAGCGGAGCATGGTAATGCTTGACGATTATACTTGCGACATTATGAAGGACCATGCATTTCGTTTACAGTCCCCACATGAAAATGTTCAAGGATCTGAACTTGTTGCGGTTGTTCAGCACCAGTAGGCTGAGGCTTGAACATGAAACACAACTGTGGATCCGATGATGTAAATGATATTAACGTCCGCCAAGTTTAGACATCTGAGAGAGATCTAATCTCATGGCTCGCGACTGAGTCGCTAGATTCTCTGCAATGGAGATTCGAGTGAAGGCAATTCGCCGTTATTGATTACTAATCGTTTCTAATGAGTAACCGAAGAATACTGTATCTGATCTGGTACTTGAAATACCACACTCGATGACAGAAAGGTTAAGGAAATTGACGAGTACATGAATATACATTTAATCTGTTGAACTCGCCGATAACGCCCAGAAGAGTAATCGAACATGTGTACTGTACATGATCGGCTGGCTTCTCGTTGTCCGGAGCCGCAATCTTATTGATTCTTCTTTTCTAGGGTTCCCAATCTTCTCGAAATACTGTTCTAAGCCGATGATTTCTCAGTCGCAGTGTGATTGATGGATTGATGGATTGATTCATATCTTCAACTTCCATTTTTGAAATGGTTCATGTCAGCGTCGACAGTTTTATTCAATTGATGAAGGAATCCAGCGTGCTGCAGAAATCGATGTTCATCAGTCACGTGGGCGATTCACGGTTTTATCCAATCTTAACCCACCATGCGTATCCAACGACGCCATCCGCCACCGGAAAGAGCATGTAGTATCCCGCAGGAGCAACTTGTTGCGACGGAGGAGACGTCGAGTACACATTGTAGCCTCCCGCTCCATCGTCCGCCGGAGCAGTTACTGCTAATTGCAACAATCTTTGCCCCATGGCATACGAATGCGTGACGAATGGCGCGCTGATCAAGTTCAATTCAATTTTAGTCGGATTCGTCGCCTTCACCACGGCTGTGAAATCCACTCCATAACCCAGACCACCAGGAACCGTCGTGAAAGACGGCGGGTTGGCGCCTAGGTAATCGGGACTGTAAGCCTGGATCCGCAGTTCCGTAGGGAGGTACCCAGTCAATGTGTAGAACTGATGCGTGTTGCTACCCGCCAGCAAAATGCGTCCGTCTTGCAAGAGGTTTGCAGTAGAGTGGTAGACTCGAGGGATATCGGTGCCCGTCAGGGTTGAGAATCGCGTCCCCTCGGCATTGTAAGGTTTGTATAGATCCGGCGCCAACACAGGGTTCGAAGCGCCTCCCCATCCTTGAGCGCCATTCGCCGCTCCGTTGATGATGAGCACTTCGCGGGTAGGCAGGAGCACCATATCTCCCATGGTTCGCCTCTGTGGCATGTACTCCATGGCCCAGTTTGCGTCGTCTGCCAGAGGCGCAATCCTACCGCATGTTTGGGAAGCATCAGCGGCAGTGTTGCCGCCCATGTACGCCCCGTATTGCGCACCACCACAAACGAGAACCTCTGGCCAGCTGAACCCGCCATCCGACGTGAGCGGGAGGAGCACGGAACTTCCAGCCGAAGGGTAATTGCGAGGTTCCCCGGGGATGGTCGGGAAATTCTTCACCACGGTATTGGACTGCCAATCGTAAAGGATCGAATCTCTGTTTGCGAAGATGAACAGCTGGTTGTTTGGCAGTAGGTGCACGAACGGATACAGGTTGTCCTGCTGCGCATCGTTTGTCTGCAGTGGAATTGCATATCAGAGCAATTAGCAAAACTGTCAGAAGGTAATCAAACGAGTCATGAAAAGGGCACAAATAGGACAGACTGTCTTCTTCACACTCAACTCCTAAGTACAATAATGAGTGAGGACTAGTCATTACTGTCTCCGAGCATGGAAAAGGGGCAGCCTAGCAACAGAGATGAAAGAGATTGTGTGAAGCCTGAACTAGCCAACAGGACACCCACTAGGAGCTATTGAATGCGACCCATGAGGCTCTCGCAATATCTGGCTCCTAAATTGTCGACATCTTAGTCGCACTAAGCACCAACTATCAAAGTTACGCAACCGATTTGAAGAAGCATCTTGTTGAAGTATGCGTAAGTACAGACAGGTTCGGTTATTACAATAAAGTAATGATGACTGAGGAAAATATTTCAGTTTAGAATTTCAACATGAACCAGAGGCATCCTGCGAATGTGAAGAGTAAAGCCAGATTCTTAGTATGAGTTCAGAATTTTGGGGTGTGGCTTTGATCTGGAGGCTGACTTTTTGAGAAAGGTACCTTCTCGAGGAGGTCCAGGTAGTAGGTGCCGCGGCCGTTGGCGGGGACGTACTCAATTGTGAAGACGCTTCGTCCTCCCACGACGATCTGGGACCCATCGGGAAGAATTTGGTTTGTGGCGTACCATCGCCCGTTCTGTAGTTGTGCTCCTTGCTCCACCCAATCACAGTTTCCGTCGTTGCACGGAGCAAAAGTACGAATCTGCAATTTGTTTTCACAACGATAAGATTTCAGAGCAATGAATTCGTTGTGGCTATGGCGAGTTGTGCTCATTCCTCACCGAGCTGGATTTCGGCAGAGAAATGGAATAAAATTATATTCTTAGCTGTATCAATTTTTAACACACTCTTGATCAAAAAAGAGTGGAAATGGAGAGTACCTTCATCAGTCCGTCAGCGTCTCCGCCAGTTTGCACCATCTGTCCATTGGCGTCGAACTGACCAGACGAGCACCAAGTGTCGGTGTACACAAATAATGGTCGAATTACATTTCCGTTGGGCGTGAACAGAGCTGAATGCGCTGTACAATCGTGTGTGTTAGCCTGCACCACAAGCGAACTCTATGCCTCAGTGAACTAAAGCGTGTCCACACGAAAGTTTCTGAAGCGGCAGCTTGAACTTAAGCGAAATCATAAAATACATCAGATAATCCTGCTCGTCGCAAAATGAAAACTCCCAAACAAACTCTCTAAATTCAACCCTGCTGCGAACAGGAGTGCATCTAGCCAGACTCAGTAATACATAGGCTCCCACGTCTGGAAAATCACAATTGAATTGTAGAGCTGATTGGCACTTCATGGGATGCTGATGGCCAAGTACCGACTTTTCTGATTAGAAACTCAGTGTCAACTAAAACTGGTCACTGAAGTAGTTGGAGTTCTTAGAGTCCATCTTGTAAGTCTTGAGAGACAGCTGAAGGTATGAGATGAATAGCAGTAATAAGAATTGGGTCTAGTTCTTGTAAGTAGTTAAAATGAAGAGAAAGACGTGGTCTATGATGGGTAGTAGCAAGCGCACCCGATCTTCAGGATTGTCACGACACACGCCATTAGGAAGACTGAGTTGAGAATCCCCAATGTTGGTTCTGTCGAGAAGTATCACAGAGCCAGTGTTCGTCACCGCCGCATGCATTGTTGAAATCCCTGCATTCTCCACCACTGTCTCGTACCAATCCCCTTTCACTCCTAACCTCCATGTCGTGACCATTTGGAGCAGCAACACCCAAATCACTACTACTCGCCTCATCTTCCACTGTTGGTCAGAGCGTCCCCTGGATCTCTTCAATCCCAGCAAACTCAACCCAGAGTCACTCCCGAAATCAGTCACTCTGCCTATTCCTCATCGACCATGCAAAGTTAGCTGCATCGGGCCAAGTGCGGTCGGTCCACGAGGTGGGAATGCCAAACAACTGAGGACTGGGGAGGCATTCGACCGTTACGAACTCGGAAGAGCTCATATACCATGTGGCATCGAATCAATCGCGACTGGCTTAAGCCGTAAACCCCCCTCACCAATGTGATCGATCTGGAAAATATTGCAGCGGTCAAACCGCCAAAAATTGTTCGAGGGGCGGAGAAGTGGGGCCGCTCCGACCTTGCCTTCTCCAATGGATCGACAAACGCCAGCAGAGAAAAATACCAGCTGCATGCGCGCGTTGCCCCACCACCGCTGCTGATGCTTGTCGGAATCGATTAACGTCCACTTCAATCAATTCTAGCAACCAGCCTTCAATGATAACCAGCGCTTCCTCTCCTTGAGAGAGAGCTGACTGGAGCACTGCAGCTGCATCGGTACTGGCACCCCTGTACCTTCTTTATACTTATCTTCGATTTTCTTTAATATTCAGTCATGATCCTATTACTGTTGCAAAGATCATTTTCCACATCATAAGCTCATCGCTCATGCAACTGCAGCTACTTGAATGCTTCCAACTTTCACTTCATAACTTTGACGCAACGTCGATGTGGGCCACCGGGTAAACTCCAGAACTTACCGCAAAGCACTTGCTTGTTCAACAAACCGTTAATTATTCGAGATCCGGCAATTATTAAGAAAATGTACATTCGATGATGCATGCTGCTTAAGATTCCTTGTATACATATGAATTCGATAAGCCAGACTCTGTTTCAATAATTTGGGATAAGACTGAGCGCATTGCAGGCTGGGAGTCAGGTGTCACACTAGGAAAGAAATCTTTGGAAATCAGAAACCATGCCCAATAATTCTCTGCAACGTCGCCGTAAGGTCGTAGCTCCCATTGATCGCAACGTCAATCGGCCGTGTCGATTTGTCTTGATTCATCACAAAAGTGTTCATCGCTGCAGGTGTCTCGGTGGCGAGCCACTGTGCGCAATGAAGTTGTCAATTCTATTCCCAACAACTTAAATTCCAGATCTGACTCCCCTACATCATCATTCAAAGGTTTCTCCAAATTTACAGCTCAAAAATGGGGCCATATAAGAGGTCTTCAATTGACCCCGCTGGCTCCGGTACAGCTGCATGGCTCTGGGGAGGCGGTTCGTTTCGTGCTGTAATCCGAGCAGAGAACGATGAAATACGACTATTGAACTTGACGTTGATCAGCCGATGTTGGATTTGGCGGTAACACGATGCTGCAATGAATTAGCTCTTAATCTGTGGCAGCTGTAAAAATGGTACATCATCAGCTAGAGTATTCTTCTCTTGTCGTCTGTAAAGCGTCCACATTTACACTGTACTTACCATTTACATGCCGACTATGAGCAGGCTGGTTACAAACTATAACCACCAAGAGTGCGCCCGCTCTCTTTTTAGTTACGTAATTCATAATCGGGTGAATCTACCGTACAATATGGAGGATCAACGCTTTTCTGATGACATAATTCGAGTAAGAGTATCCGTGATTGAGTCCACCAAACGGTGGATTTTTTAACGTTAATCCAGTCAAACCAATATTCGCAGGAAAAATTCTGGTGAGGGAAGGACCTCGCTGGAGATGCCCAGTACTAACCTGTTATTCTTGAATGGAGAGATTCATTTACTTTAGACCCAGATCACGATTAAGCCATGACTTCACTTCTGCCTACTACTGCTAGAGTCACATAGAAATTGCAGAGAGCCCCGGCTCAACCGACCACATCTGTTTGAAAAAAAATCGGTAGCATCAAGGCTGTAGATCCGGAGACTGGGTTGGTAACGATCGACACGTGCCTCCGAAGAAAAGTGAAGCTACGAAAGCTCAGGATTTGGTGGGCCTCTTTCAAATGAATCGATCTATGCTTCTCCTATGCAACTTCCAACAACCAGCACTATCTGCAAAGGAGCTGCAAAGGGCAGCAAAGTCACGGTGGAGTCGGCCAGTAGCCATGCCGGTGTATGAAAACTTCCTATATTCCCAGAATTCTTCAACATTGTATCCTTTTTGGAAGTTTCAGCTTGAGCACAAATCCAACCGCGTGGTCCCTACCGCTCTTCAGAGAAGGCAACCCTCATCGCAGTTACCGAGCAAATCCTCATGATCCCCACAAGTTTTGATATCTCCAACCAGGTCGCACTCCAGCCCCGTAGCAGCGTCAGAATAGAAAGTCTAGCCAAGTGTTACATTGTGGTGGTCAATGCCTGAGTTGAACGGAAAGTCCAAATTGAAAGCTGAAGCTCAGCTTGTGAGTCCAGACTTGTTCAGCTCTCGACCTCAAGCTTGCCCATTGGTCGACGTTGCAACGAGGACACACACCGGAAGTGCCACTGGTGGACAGAGTGTGTCGTGGACTCCTGAGCGATGCTGTCGAGCCTCCTGTCGGCCCAGCTGTACCACGTTTGGCAAGTCTTGGCATATTCGTATGCAAAAGAATTCCCTATTGGCTCACGCTAACCCCGATTAGTGTACATTACAAATAGTGACAAGATCACTGATGATAAGAGCTCAGTTCGACGGATAAGTCCAGATCGTTCGTGCAGAAGATCGTGGAGGAATGTTGCGATCTGACTCGGTGTTTTGTTAAAGAGAATGTATGCAGTGTACTTGGAAGGTTTGTCTCAATCCTTTGCGATGAATACACTGGCCACGCCGCTCTGCCACATTCTTAAACCCATTCGGAGAAGTACATTGCTAGCTCGTCCCATTAGCCCTTAAGCTACAGATGCAGCGGCCCTAGAGGGCGCAGGACGGACGAAAGGATGAATGAATGAATATCTTGACGGGGCAGATGGATGGTATATTCATCGTATGGATGATTTTCTGGGTCCTGATGAACATATTTTCAATAATGTGTGTCACGGAGCAGAAAGTTCAGTTGCTTGATGTGCCCTTCATTGTAAAATAGCCCTCTTTTGTTATAATATACCTCCAAAAAAGCGCAGATTTTACTTAGGTTTCATAAGAAAACAAATTTTATTTATGTAAAAGATTGTTGGTCGTACACATGTAAAGTAAAAATTAATAGTCATGGTAACTCAAGTGAGTATGATGTAAAATACGCCTTCATATGTTTAAATACCGGTTTAGTTAAAATAAGTGATAATCATAAAATTTGGCTTTTAAGATGAGTTGAATGCACCAAAACATTACAAAATAATAATTATAAATAAATTATGATAATAAGAGTAATATATTTAGAAGATTGCTATATAGACACCCCTTGTGCCACACTGAGTATAGCACTGTTACAAGTTTTTTTTAACAAGTTGGACATTAATGAAGATAAAAGGTATAAAAATAACAACAATATATATATATATATATATATATATATTAATCCATAACATAAGAATATCAATAACACAAATCCTAAACAAAGCAAATAAATAAAGAATGGTGTCTACCAAACACACACTCTCTTTTATTTGCTTTGTTTAGATTATATATTTTTGTTGATGTTAATATATATAAATATATATATTTTTTAGTCTTATGGATGTTCAGTTTGTTAAAAAACTTATAACAATCATGTATTGTTGGTGTGACATGGAGGTGTTGATGTAGTAAAAGGGAGGTGTCCACCTAGATGTTCCCTATATTTAACATATATAACATGTATGTTTATTCATGTGCACCTACTCTATTACTCATTTGTATTTAATAAATAATGATAATAAGATATAATTATATAATAATAAGAAATGAGAAATAACTAAATTGTAATGAAAAGCTTATGTTTTTTGGATAAGCATTTTTTTTATACATTATTATTGAAAGAAACTATGCCTTCTAAATAATTTTAAAAATAGAATTATGTATATGTGTACATGTATATAGACATATATAAATATCAATTGTGAGAAGTCACATTTAAGGCAGCAGGATTAATATAAAAATGTTTCCTTGAAGTTTTCTACTGCAAAGAAAAATCACAAAAATAATGATGATAATTTGTGCAGTCACAGAAGAATAACTATAAATGTTCAAATAATATTCCACAAAAGTTCTCATGACATTATTTTTTTACATTTCTATATATATATATATATATATATGCATATATTTATTGTGTCTAAAGGACATTTATTTTTTTACTTCTTTTTCTCCCAAGCCTTTGTAATGAACCATGTGTATCATTCACATGATGAATACTTTTTTTTTATTGTTATTGTGTAGTTGGCCCTATGGACCACATTCCACCCACATGCACTCTAAGTATGTATATGTATATATATATATATATAAATTTGTTTTAGGTTGGAAGCTTTTAAGGCCTTTAAAGTTGGAAAATGATGTGTGCATTTTTGGAGGTTCATCAAACTCCTTCTCCTTGACAAGAAAATGAGTTAGAGCTTTACTTGCAATACTGAATGAGAGAGAGGTTACAAGCAAGGTTGGGTAGTGTGAGTAGAGAGCTGTGTCCACTCTGACACCAAGTTCTTTTTTGCTTATCACTGTTTCTAAACTCTTCCAAAATGCCAAAAATTCCACACTTTGAAAAACTAAATGAAAGACCTCTTACTCAAGTGTTGTGACTGACTCTGTGAAGCCGACACAAATGTCCCCTCAAACCTTCCATTCATCAAACTCCTTAAAATTTATTTTCTTTAAAAATGAAAAAGCACATGTAAAGCAAAAGAGGAGTATGGTAGAAGTTTCCAACAAGAACAAAGCAAGGGCCTTGAGGAGGACAACCAGCACTGCCTCCTCCACATCCTGAGCACCTCCAGAGGCCCTTTCATGCTTTTCTTCAGAGGTATGGGGAAAAGGATTTGTGTTCAGACACAGAAAGAGGAACTGCTTTTTGCATGTTTCCTCTGGAAGTGCAGAAAAATGGGACATGGAAAAGGAAAAGGAAAACATATTAAAAAGAAAACATGAAAACATTAAAACATTAAATACAAAAACCAATGATACAAGTCAAACTGGTTTTTTTAGCTTAAATTCCTTGAAAGATTTAGAAAATGGGGCACCAGAAATACGTGAAAAAACAAAGATATATGACAATAAATAGAAGTTGTTCCAATCGTATGATTTTTAATCATTTTCATCAGATGATAAAAAAACATGCAGAAAAATTGTGTCCAATGAGGTTCAAAAATATGTGCTCCTTTTCTCATTGACCCCTTTTAAAAAAGTAAAACTACTTGCCATGATTTTACCCACTATTGGAGATTAAACTGATATCTACTCTATTCATGACATGTAACTAGAACAACTTGGTGATTAATCAAAAACAGAAGGTGGAAAGTGCTATCAGTTTTTTGAAAAATAATAATAAATAAAAACAAATTAGCCATCCACACATGCAACTAGTCATGATAAACTCATCCAAAAGTACCCACAAATAATTGTTGCTTGAATGGCAAGTCCATTTGACTCATTCAAGTTTACAGCCATGCAAAATCCATTTCGCTGTTTTTGCTGAAACTTCTTGTCACACAGTCAACAAATTTGGAAATACAAAGGCTGTGGCCCATGTGTAGGAGGTGTGTATATGCAAACATATCTATTCATTCACACATATACATTCCTCCAAATTTGAGTGCCAGCCAAGCCTCAGCACCTCCTGGTGGATGAATGTATGGATGGATGAGAAATCTGGGTAGTGTGGATGAATGGATGGGAAGGGGTGGGCTGGGATGGTGACCAAAGTGGAAAGAGTGCAAGAGTTGTGTGTTATATGTTGGGGTCTGAAAGGGATGAGCAAAAGGGGGGGCTTTGGTTTAGGGGATGAGACTGGGGTTCATGTGGTGCTCATAGGGCATTGCTCACTTTTTCACACCCCCATGTCCCTTCTTCTCCTCGTCCTCCTTTGCCCTAAATAATGCATGTGGGGAGGGTCATGTTGAAAGGTAGTGGCTAGAATATGGTTCTTGTCACCTTGTACAGTACCCACCACAGCCCTCACATCAAAAACCCATGCCTGAAAAAAGAAGCTAGAAAACCACTTCCTCTCCCACCTACCCCCATTATTTTATTTTATTTTAGCATGTTTTAGATGTGAAATCCTGGCTCAGTTGATCATGCTTAATATGTGTGTGTGTGTGTGAATTACTCTAATGGCATATCTATGTGTCCATTTTCAATTCACACCTTTCAGTGTGTGTGAATAAATAACTTTCAATTGAATGAGTCCTACAACCACTCTGCTTTTCATTATTGTTCTGTGCATAAATTTGGAAAAGAACATCCTTTCAGTCTTGTGTCACAGTGGCTACATTAAGTGGATAGCATGTGAAGAGTTTTTTCATTCTTGTTTTATTAATTCACATGCATATCTGTAGTATATTTATATTTATATTGTTGTTATGAGGTTTCAAGGTGCTATTAGGGGTATTATAGTATACATATGTAAGATAATACTAATAATAATAATAATTATTTTTGTCAAATAGAAACAAGAAATAGACACTAAACAGTTACTTTCAATCATGATCTTGTGAGTTGTGTAAAAGAAAACTTAAAATTCTCAAATAGCACCTCTAAACCATCTAACAATATTAATAATTATTATCATTGATATTGATGAATTATTATCAATTTATTATCATTATACTATTGTTATTGTTATCTTTTATTTTTATTATCATGGTGTGTGATAAGTTTGAGTATTTTGTGCAAAAAAAGTCATTTCATTATTTGTAAATACAATCATTAAAACCAAGTTAAATGATTTAAATTCATCACCCCACACATTAATATTGTGTAGGTGTGTGATTGCATTATTTACTTCTTGTGTCCTAAATTGTCAAACACCTAGTTTTGCGAGTTTCCACCTCAAATGAGAAAAAAAGGTAAAATATACTCAATACTGGTTAATTACAAACCCATGCTAGTAATAATAAAATTTTATTAAAAAAGTCAAGTTATGGTGAAACATAAATTTTAGTTAGATCACCATGTAAAACAAGCCCACTGCAACCTATTCAATGGCAGTGACTTGGTTGGCCTTAATAGACTATAGAGTTTCCTTGACAGCCTGCCATGGATACTCCTTGCTCTTGTTATGGTCAGGGCATTAAGATTTAGACTAGAGCATGAAGGAGAGACATATTTAATGGAGGGCGAGAGAGGACTAGGAGTGGGGTTTATAGGGAAGCCACTGTGAGGGGGGCAGGTGGTGCCAAGTGTAGCATTTGCCAGCCACCTTGCCATGTGGCTGGGGACTGCCATGCCTGCCCTTGCTAGGGTGCCATGAGTCCACAACATCCACTTCTTGGCCAGCCTTGTTGGCACCTACAGGTGGCGATGCCCTTATGCTTTAAATGAGTGGTAAATAAATATTAATTGTTCTAATGCAATTGTAAAACTTGGAATGATACTTCTCACTACTTAGTTAGCATTTAAAAAATATATATATTTTGTGAATATATATTACTAAAATTTAACTATTTTTTTAAAAAGAAAAATAAAAAGAATATATATGTATAGGTAATTGTTAAATCATAGATGTTCTTGGCAAAGAGATTAAAATCCTACTTTTATCATAATATATTTATTCTAAATTCTAATCTAAATCTTGATTTGATACAACTTCAAAATTTATGAAAAATTGAAATGAAATAAATAACCGTTTACAAAAATAATCTTATAACAGATAAAGTTATAATATTAAATTACCTAAAGATTAAAAATCAAGGAAAAAATTCATGTATACCTTACCTACTTTGAACCTCAAAAAGACTATATACAACCTAGAAAACAAGGGTTCAAAACTTGTACTAGCTATGCTTGACACATGTCAAAACACTTTCCTTCACAGAAAAATGCATCAGCAACTTCAACAAACAAACACACAAACAAACAAACAACTAAACAGGGTGGGTTCTGAACCAACACAACTATCACATGGTTTCATACAAAACTGCCATCTCTGGCATCTTGGGAAGGCCTTTTAGAAATAATTGCAAAAGTGAGAATGATGAACATATCCAAGGTGCTGCAGAACAAGCAGGCTTTTATCAGAGTTGACACAGATAAGAGCCCTTCAGCAACAGGAGGAGCAGAGAGATGAAGAAGCAGAAGCAGAGGAGGAGGAGGCACTGATGATGGGAGAGAAAGGGCCCTTTTAGAAGCACACATGGACACACACACACACACACACATACACAACGAGCCATGGCATTAGTCGAAAAAGTCAGGAGCATGCAGCAGCTCTCACAATAAGTTAGTGGAAGCCAGGACAGTACCAGTCAGTCTCATGCCCTCAGCAGCATTGCAGCAGCATGGTTGTCAGTCCCTCAAGCTGCTGCTTACTGCTCACTGCTCTGATTTGCCATGAGTCCCTCCAATCCTGCAGACTGGGACACTGACGAGCTCCAATGATCACCACCAGTTCCACTCTCCTCCTCTTGCAGTGCATACTACCGCACACGGTTGTAGAACCATGTTGATCCAGCCATACCCCGTCGCACATGGAGTGAGTTGATGGTTATGTGATTCCAAGCTCATGAATCCGTTGGAGCTTGAGTCACATGTAGCTTCGATGTCACCGTTGCTGTGAGCACGGCAGGATTCCATGCATGTGGATTGTTGTGGTGGTTTGAATGGTGGATTTGGTGCTGGGCTGTTGTAACAAGGTAATAATAAATTTAGGTGAGTAAGTGGGTATTGCAAGTGATGAGCCTTATGGAAACTACTCCCCACCGACGCCAATGCTCTCAAGGCGGATAAAATGAAAACAAAAAATAAAATATTGCAGTGTTGACAAACCGCAATTATGGGTGCAGTTAGCTACGATCCACAATCTGCCGGCCTGGATACGGGCTTCGAAGCGAAGTCGGTCAAGGGGGACTCATCGAGCTCGTCGTGGTCGGCATTTGTTGTGGTTTTTTGTGCGGATCTGTGAATGACGTCAAAGGATGGTAATCAACGTTTCCAGCATTGGACTCAATCGCGTGTGATATGAAATGATTTCGAATAAGGCCTGTGTGGGTTTGATCTTCGATGTGGACATAGATTGTTTGGTTTCTCGTCGTAAGCTTGTCAGGCACGTGGAGGTGAATTAATGTCGAAGGGAGTGCCAGTCTGTGTTCACATTGGAGGAGCTGTTTGGGGGCCTGCCGACGTGGCGGGACGTTGGTGCCGAAAAGAGCGATCTCCGAATCGGCGGGATGCGGTTCAGAGATCGCCAAGCGGCAAAGAACTGGAATGATGTGCAACAAACTGACAAACTCGTTGGATCGTAGAAAGGGCAATCTGTGAAGTGGGTTGCTCTAAGCCTCGGAGGCTTCAATCTCTTTGCTAAGTTGGGGTTGAATTGGGAGGAAGAGAATGAAGGAGGACGAGGATCTGGCGAGGGAATTAAGAGGAGCTATGGAGGACGATGAAGAGATAGGAGAGGAAGCCCCATTGCTGCAGCCCCAAGAATCTAGAGTCTCCGAGATCGCAAACGATCGCCCGGAACTTGCTTCAGTGACGCCACCTCCAGTTCTGATCATTGCATGTTTCAAGCTTCTTTTTTGTTTGTTTATTTCTCTGTTTTGTTTTGTTTAGCGTTATTTATTTATTTATTTACATTTTAATTAGTCAGTGGGGTTTCTTTCGTTGTTGAAGGTTTTAATTGAAGATGTTAGTGCTCATAACAAACTATGCCACATTCTCCTCCAAATTTTTTGCCACACTAGTTCTGGATCATTGCGCCAGTAATTGGATTGCTCTTCATTGGAAGATAACCTAATTGGGTTTATTGGGTCGGGATAAGGGTCACTCGACACCATTGGGTTTTGCACATGTTTTGCAACGGACAGGAGACGGGGCTGTAGATGTTCTCTCTCGAGTTGTCAAAGCTAGCGAATTTTTACACGACTTGTTTTGGTCATTTCAGTATCCTGGAATATTGGAAGTTGCTGCGCCTGAATGTAGCGGTTGATAATTGTGTATAATAACCTCTCGATCATCTCTCTGATGTTGAACGAAGTTTTTGGGATGTCATTGCGTGTCAAACTTCGCTCTTTGTTATGAATGCGGTCGTTTTATAAGGTTGATTTTGAAAATATGTTGATATGTTACAGTGATTCACCAATGGTATTCATGAACCTTGTGATACTGTCCAGGACATTAACGCGGATATATATGGTGCTGAAGATTCGGATAACCTAACAGTGTCTGTAAGTGACATACTTTTCAGCCCTCCTGTTTATTTGATGTGGCTGGTGCTACAAAAACATTCTTTTTTGTCTAATTTTTGTAGGATGTTGATTGATGTAAGAATGCTATCTGCGCAGGGTCGGGATGTAGACGTTGAGGCTCCCAAGAAAAAGCATGACCTTAGAGCGCTCGTAAGCAAAGTTTTCTTTTCAGTATTTCAAGCTTGAATGTTCAATTTTTGGCTAGTTGTAAGAGAATAATGTAACATAATAAAATGATGCGCTGCAAAGGTTGGCTTGGAGGATTTCATGTAAAGAAATTCTATCAATATTAGGGTTTCTGCATTATGTGATGCGTAATGCGATGCATAAGGTGATGACTTGTGTAACTTTTTGATCTTGCTTCTTGGCGTATCCAGGCAACAGTCGGAAACAAAATGAGTGTCGAGAATAGACCTAAGGTACTTAATATTTGTGTAAGTTTTTTCGTTGGTCTTGTATTTAGGTTAATTCAGATTCTCGTGCTCTTGATTTCACATAATTGGGGTTTGAGTTGAGCATTTATTGGTTATGAAGGTCTGAACGATTTTCCAATGTCTTCTACTCAAAACTCTGACCTCGTCCTCTGGGTTTATTAAATGTTCTCGTATACATGTCTATATTCAGGTTCAATTTGCGTTTAGTCTTTTTACACGGCTCTTGAACTATTCGGCGTTACGAGCATTCCTACATAAACTTGGAGCCTTGTTTGTGCAACATTTTTGCTGATGTCGAATGTATTGGCAGTCAGTGGACGTTGAAGGTCCAGACGGTGTAATTAAGAGGTTTGCAAAAGGGACGAAGGCTGCATTTGCTATAGAACGATTCAACTGTCAGCTCAAAGATCCATCTTTGCCAGTTGTGTGCATAGTGGCCTGTAAAGACGGCGAGGATCCCATCGAATTTGGTCCAGATGTTGAGCTGGTCTCTTATGATGATACCTGGACATTAAAGACCTTACGAGAAGGTACAGGGGTTGCCTTCTATCCTTTGCAGCGTGTCTAGTTTTGCTCTTTGGCATTGAATGGGTTACCTATAATTGTCCATCGCATTTGCGTTTATAGAGGAACAGGCATGCAATACGAATCTTCTTTACTCTAGGTTCATCAACTCTTAAAGTAATTTACGAGGGCGGTTCTCATGCCGTACCACCTTCCTCCTATAGAGCCCAAAGGAGGATATGTGAACCGGAAACGGCGGCCTAGCGAGTGACTTAAAATGAAACTTAGCAAAATATAAAAAGGTGTGCTTCTGCTTCAAGTATGATGCTCCTAAGCACCTTCGGGATACCGCTTAAAGTACATCTTGTGATGTCTTTCCCCGTATCTAGTAACTTTAAATATGTCAGAATGTCATCTTTGAATGAAATTGGCAGTCACTAAATTAGTGTTGTTTTGGTAAGGTTGATTTAGTGATTTAACTAAATTAGATTAGTCTATTTGCAACCTTCCTGTAGTGTCTTCAGTTATATCTGATTTGCAGCATCCATATATCCTTAATGTGATGCTTGGCTTCAGATACTGATCTTTATTGATTCCCAAACCTCGGAGCTCATGCTGCACGTCATTTGCAACAGTTGTGTACTTAGTTTTAAGATTTCATATTGTGCAGAAGCTACTAGTTGGGGTAGTAGAGAGGCATTTGACTAATTACTCACGCTTTGAGCAGCTGTTCAAGACGTGAGTGGAAATCCAGTGAAAGAGGATTTCATTCACAATTCTGCTCGAGTCGCTTCTTTACCAAATCCCATCACACAAGTGCCGGTGGCCCCCTATGGTACAGGTTAGCTCTATAATTTCCTACGACTTTCTAGGTCTTCAAATTATTACCTTTTTCTCTCAGATTTCAAACATTGAATTACCCTTTTGTACCAGTATGTATCTTCTCAGTAGACAGTGTTGAGTCAATAGGTGGAAAAAAATTACTATTCAATGGTCTTCATGGCAGCTGATGTTTGGTGTTTGAAGCAACATAGTTTGATTGATTTCAGAGCATCACATGTACTTCGCGAATTTCAGTCCTTGCGTTTCGTTCATCGTCCATCAAAGAACCAAAAACTAAAATAGTTTTCTTAACTATCTACGAGCCTACCGTGTGCTGTGTTTTGATGGGGAACGGAATGTCTTGAATTCTGGAATCCTCCCATTAATTCAGTAAGGACAGTCGAAAATGTTCTGGTAGTGTCTTATAATTGATGTGCACCTTGAAAGTGCTAGCATATCCATGATTTCCTTCATATGTTGAGAACAGTAATCGAACTGTGGCTGTGCTGACACCGGCGAATGTGTTCAAAACAGAGGAAATCAACACTAAACAGAATGACTCCACCAAACCCACACGGGAGAGCACACAAGAAACGGATGCATTACGATACTTTGGTGTTAAGGTGAACGCTTTTAGCAGTTTTTCTCCCTAAATTCTTTGGTGTTGTGCATTTGTAGTTTCAGTCCTTGTATGGTTATTCTTGGTTGCTGGTCATATTTACTCGCTTTTCAGGAAGGCACCGTTTATTGATGTGCCGGTTATTCTCATAAATTCTGTCGTTTCTGTAATAATATTTGGTGTGTTTGTAGTTGGTTATTTGACCAGACGATGTCCATATTGCAGAATTGGGAAGATCTATATCCAGAGGGCAAGATTCCTGAAGGGGGCTCTCAGGATTGCACGCCTCAATATGTTGGAAAAGTGCTTGTGATGTTCATCTTTGTGTTCGCATTTGCTGGAGGCTTGATTTACATGTTAGAACAGCTGCCCGATCCCTCGCGGTCTTTACAGTAGTGTTTTGCATCACTGGATTTAATACTACAGCATTTTGAGTCTCCCCCTTTGTAAATATAAAACCAGTTACTCTGTTTCTTATGAAATACATGTTATTGTTTTAAGGAATTTGTTACACTGGATTACTACTAGTTATGTTGTTTGGATGAATGTGTAGTTTTAGGTCTGGTATGGGTTATAGGCTTCAACGTGTATGTTAAGGGTGCAGTATATATAGAAGTTTATGTAGCAATATAGTAACAAGAGTGTAAAATTATGCTTCAAAATGATAATGTAAATCTAATGTATAATTGTGATTGTATTGTGAAATGATAAAGTTGAAATATTAGGAAGGAAGACATCATTATGGTATATATTTTGAAGTTGATCAAAAAATGTATATTAATTCAAAGATTTCCACCATACATATAGAAACAAACATATCAAACTAAGATCGAGGATATTCAAGGAGATATTTAGAGAAAATGTTGAGCCTATGTTATAATATTGGAGGTTTTATTCAAAAAAAAAGAAAACGTATTGAATAGAAGTCAATGTACAAATCTATGCAAAAATAATGGATATGTAATAAAAGAACTTGAGGTTTGTATGACTTGAATGAAGGTTGAATTGAGGTTGAAGCAACTATTAAATGGATTATTTTTTAAATTGAGCAAAGATTTTTTCATTAATAAAGACATGCTAAATAGATAATTAGTATGAAGAGACTAAAATTCAACTAACAAACAAAAAAACTTTTTGGGAATTACTTTTGGAATTGAAGTGCTATTTTGATATAACAAGCAATATGTTTGTAGAGCACTATTTCTATGTATATATAAAAAATAAATATTTTACCTTTAATGTTCCAACTTATAATAAAGTGAAAGACAATAAAATAGAAAATTGTATGAAAAAATGATTTCCAAAAATAATGTAGAACAATTTCAAAGTTAAAGAATAAAAAAGCATCCTTTAAAAAATTGGAAGATTTGTATGAAGAAGATAGAGACTTGGATGCTTTGACACTATTCCCAAACATGAAAAGTTTTGAAATCATAGAATGCGTAATTGGAGAAACTTATAAAAATTCTATAAGTATTTTCATTTTTTGTAAGTTTGTATGATAAATAGAAAAAAATGTCAAAGTAGAATTTTATATTTCTTACAAACCTATACCTATGTTGTTATTTGATTTTTAACCTATTTTCAAAGTATGTTTTTAAAAGAAAACAATAAACATTCTTTTTATCAATGACATCAAGCGTGAACATTTGTTCATACCAAAGGTGAATTAAGATATCAAGTTGCCCATTTCATTTGGCAATGATGCCAAGCTCAAGCACTTCTACATATTTAAGATAGTCAAAGATATAAGATTGCCTAAATCATTTGGTGATAATTTCAAGCTTGAGCTGATATGTTGTATTAAATATTGGCATCAACAATCAACTTACAATTATATAAAGAACATAAAATAATATCAAAAATTGGCATCAACAACTAACATTCACATTCATAAGCTATAATAGTTTGTTACAAAATACATGTATGTTTAATTTATCCTATCTTGTATATAATAATTGTGCATATAAATTATAAAACCAAGAAAAAATGCCTCACTTTAGACCTCCAACATGGTGACCTTATATAAATAAATAAACATAATTCCACATATAAATAACTATCTAGAATAGTTACTTGTTGGATGCATGCTAGTAAAATGGCCAAAATCTTTGCTTGCCAAAAGATCCAACACAAATTTATATTAGAGAAGTATTTAATTTTCTGAATGAAACTCTATAAGATAATTCATACTTACTGAAAATGCTTACTTGCCAAAAGCAAAAAAAAGTGCCTCTATACAAATTCATGTTCAAATAAATTACTTACTTTTTGTATGTGGCTAGTAATACAAATTGCCAAAATTTACACTAGTGCAATGCAATTCAATAGAAATATAGCCTTTGTTTATATAGAAGGAAAATAATAATAAAAAATGAGCAAAACAACAAACAAAATTTTCAAACAATATGTATTGTATTCATTTACAAAACATTGGATTATTGTAAGAGATGGCACATATGATTGTGTTGAACAATAATCAACCACTCATCAAAGAGGTTCAAAACCTTAAGTGGCATATTCCATATTACCACTACATCACACTTGAGAAATATGAGATCCAACATTCTTTAATTGAGTAATGAACTACTTCTCCAATTAATTTTTATAAGGTATCTTCTTACTTTGACACCTGCAATTGTTTGGGCAAGCAAGCGATGGATTGTGAAATCAGTTGCAACAAAACAAGAGCTGAGCGATGAATAATGTAAGGTGGGGGGTAGGATGCATGAAATGAAGATGGTGGGGGAGCCCGTATGGAGTGGAGAGTGGGAGAGGGAGATGGCCCGCTCTTAAGAACGAAGGGGCCGTGGCCTGGAGGGGGAGGTGAGGCCGCGTGGTGGTGAGGTAGCAGCTGCACGGCAGGCGAGGAGGATACTGGGGGTGGGGTCGGTGCGGGAAGAAGAGGGTTGTGGTATGTGCCATGTGAAAGAAATTTCGGCCATCAGGGTCCTGGGAAGGGGCTGCGAGTAGCCAGCTGTTAAAAAGTCATTGTTATATAGCGATAAATATCTCTACCTTTCATGCGGGTGTCTCGGGCTTAATCCCCACAAGAGATGCGGCACTCCCTGCGCACAGGAGCACCGGTGGTCTAGTGGTAGAATAGTACCCTGCCACGGTACAGACCCGGGTTCGATTCCCGGCCGGTGCAATAATCTGACAGCGCCTCCCTTTTCGCCCACCCCACTCCACAGCGCGAACACATGAAGTTCTTGTCACCCCGCTTTTCCACCACACGAGTTTCGCTCGTCTAACCCCATTCCTTCATGTTCTAACCCAAACTCCAATCCTGTCTCCTATATCCCTTCACTCTTGCACACATCCACCACACATTACAAACATCTACCACATCCTTCATTTTCATCATCCTCTTGTATCCATCTTTTTTTCTTTTTTGGATCAAAATGTATACAATAAAAAACTCCTATTGCCTCAATATCCCTCAATCCTTGCTCCCTCCAAAATATTGTGGTTTCTTACATGCAACATAGAACATCCAACTTCCATTCACACACATTCAATACATCAATTGTAAGCCTTTGCATTGGTATTTATGGAGCCAATACATCCACATGCCCCCTTGCATCCACATTATGTATACTTTCAATGCTAATGATGAGCCACATCCTTCACAACATGGTTTGCCTCTCAAATCAACCATACTACAAAACATTGTCTTAATTCTTTTAGAGGTTATTTGGAGAGAATAAAATAAAACAAAACACTTAATTTAAATCAAATTAAATCAAACAAACAAAACAAAAGGTGGAAGGGATGACCAAGATTGATAACCACCCCCATTTTCTAATGCACATGCAAAATATATTCTACTCAACATTTCATCATATTGGTTCTACAACAAATCCAACATATAAGAATGTAGTGATGTGTCCAAACATGCAACCAACAACAAAAACAACATGAATCAAATAGCATGAGGATGTTGAAATTACTCCTAAGATGTTTACATTTTTCTTCCATAAAAATTGTAGTAAATAAAATAAAATAAATGTTATTAAATTTTTCATGTCCAAAGTTTAATAGTTCAATCACATTGTTTATTAATGATCATTGCAAGAATTGGTATTGATGTTGTAGTATTTAATTTGATGAGTTCTTATTCTTAGCTCAGTAATAGATATTAATATGCTAATAAATACTTCACATATGAGCAAAGTGCTTTGTTATTGAATTATAGAAGAATTTAAATATTTTTGGTGATATTAAATTTTAATGTTGGAACTATAGAAATTATATTTGTGAAGAAGAAATCAATGTAATTATTGGATGATTCTAAATTAGTAGGATATATTTGCTATTTTTAATATATATATATATATATATATATATATACAAATTATTTCTTTTATTATATCAAATTTTATTATTTTTTTCTCAACTTGTTTAAAACTAAGTTTATAATTAGACATAAATAAGACCATAAAATTTTATTGTATTTAAACACTAATATTATAACTTTAAAAATGAAGTAATAGATAAAAAGCTTATTTTAATTTTCTATTGTTGTTATTTGATATGTTATTATAAAATAATTTATCCAATTATAAACTAAAATTATTAAAGTTTTAAATTAAAGAATATGATTAAAATTTTTATATTAGTTTATACATAATATACTTTCAAATCTTTCTATAATATGATATTTCTTTATATTATATTTTTTATATTAAAATTCATTTAAAAGTACAATAAAAATTATATATTATGAAAAGAATAAATTTTAACCTTTAAATTTTGATTTTCTTATTAGTATTGGTTTTATACATGCTATTTAAATAATATTTAAGTAAAATTATCCTCTTTAGTAATCCATGAAATTCAAGTTCTACATTTGTATGATTTTATGTCTCATTTTTTTTTAACAATGTTTCTACTTATATCTTATAGTTGATTATGTATTCTTATGATTCTATCTTTATCTAGTTTTATCAATTAGTCAATGTCTCTAATTTAAATTCTACTTCTTATTCAAATGTATTTTTTTGACTATTGAACCATATTTACAATGTTTTTGCTTATAATATTCTTTGTGGATACAATATATACTAAAAAAAATAATACATGTCCAAAAATATATTCTTTTCTTCAACTTTCAAATTGCCAAAGATTACTCTTAGTTTTTTCCAAATCTTATAGTTACTATCTTTTATATTTCAATCATATTCTATTCTTCTTTTCAAGTTTTGTAGAGCTTGCTTCCAACATCTCAATTTATTTTTCTCTCTTATAAATTCTCTGATTACTTTTAGATTCAATGGTACACTGTTATAAATTCTTATAATTTTTTTGCCAACTTCAACAAGTTTATTATACAAATTTTCTTAGCCACAAGAATAAGTGACAAACAACATGTTTTTTTCTTTGTCAAATTCTTCAATCTTTTTCTTATAAAGTTCTTCACGACAATACTCTATTGCTTTTGAATCTCAAGTTATTGCAATTAATGTATTATGATTGCTAGCAAATAAGTCATCTATAGGCACATCTTTA